TACAGACCTTGCTTTCTTGTCCTTGGATTACAAATCCTTCTGGTTGTTCCATATAGATTTCTTCTTCTAAGTCACCGTTTAAAAAAGCTGTTTTAACATCCATTTGGTGTACTATTAAGTTATAAATGGCTGCTATTGAAATGAGTACCTTAATGGATGTAATTCTAGTGACTGGAGAAAAGGTGTCGAAGAAATCTATATTTTCTCTTTGTCTAAAACCCTTGGCTACAAGGCGTGCCTTGTATTTCTCAATCGTTCCATCAGGTTTTAGTTTCTTTTTCAAAACCCATTTACAACCAATTGGTTTGCAACCCGGAGGTAAGTTTACTAAGTGCCAGGTCTTGTTAAATTCTAGAGAATCTATCTCATCATTAATGGCTTCTTGCCATAAGTCTGCATCCATAGATGACAGTGCTTCTTGAAGATTTATTGGATCTTCTTCTACATTATAGGCCGCATAATCGGGCCCATAGTCTTTAGCAACTCTTGCTCTTTTACTTCTTCGAAGCTCTGTTTCTACATTGTCGCTGCTTTCAGTGCTTTTTATCACAGGAATGTGACTCGATTGTGTGCCCCCACTATTTCTCGATTTGAAGGGAAATTTGTCTTCAAAGAATTTAACATCGTTTGATTCTATGATTACTCTGGCATTTAGGTCATAAAACCCGTATGCCTTACTGTTTGCTGCATACCCAATGAATACGCATTCATAGGCTCTACTAGCGAGTTTAACTCGTTTCGGATCCGGAATTCTGACATAAGCCAGGCAGCCCCAAGTTCTCAAATAAGACAAATTTGGTTGTCTTTTCTTTAATATCTCATAAGGTGAGATCTTACTTTTCGACTTGGGAACTTTATTCAGGACATAGCAAACAGTTAATAAAATTTCCCCCCACCAGTGAGGTGCAGCACCAGAATTTAACATGATTGCAACTACAAGTTCAGTAAGAGTCCTATTCTTTCTTTCTGCTTTACCATTCATTTCAGGAGAGTATGGAGCAGTCGTTTCATGTATAATACCATGTTCAGCATAAAAATCATTAAACAAGCTAGAGTCATATTCGGTTCCCCTATCACTGCGAAGTCTCTTAATCTTCTTGTTAAATTGATTCTCAATTTCAGTTACATACACCTTAAACATGTCAAGCGCTTCACTTTTATTCTTCATTAGATATACATAAGTATAATCAGAGCAATCGTCAATAAAAGTGATAAAATAACGTTTATTATTTCTAGTTAAACTTCCATCTAATTCACATATATCAGAGTGTATAAGATCTAGGGGATCAGATTCTTTTATTATTGATTTATGTGAAGTCTTTGTTATTTTAGCTTGACTGTAAAATTCACATTTATTGGAATCATTAATATTTAGTTTAGGGATTAGGCCTATGTTGCTTGCATTAGAAATGATTCGTTTATTAACGTGACAAAGTCTACCATGCCAAATATTAAAATCACACAAAAAGTAAACAAAAGGAGAAGTTTTATTCAAATTAACATTCAACTTAAACTTGCCATCAGTGGCGTACCCTTTTTCCACAAAAATACCATTCTTAGTGATGGTGTACAAATCTGCCCCTAAAGTTTGACTGAATCCAGCCTTATTCAGAAGAAAACCAGAAACAAGATTCTTCTTAATTTCAGGAACATGCATGACGTCCTTCAAGATCAAAGTCTTTCCTGAAGTGAACTTCAGTTCAACAACTCCAATTCCAGCAACATTAGTGGTGTGAGCATCTCCCAACAACACTTTCTTATCTTCAATATTCATGTATGTCTTGAACATAGCACGATCATAGCAGACATGACGAGTGGCGCCAGTGTCTATCCACCAACCGTCACTTCCACCAACCATGTTGATTTCAGTGATCATGGCAATTAGTTGCTCATCAGTCAGGTTAACCTGTGTATTTGAGCCAGCTACAGGTTTAGGCCTGCTCCTACATTTCTTTGCCATATGGCCCGGTTTCCCCCAATTGTAGCTAGAGAAAACCGGAGCCATTTCTTTGAGGTGGTGGTTGTTGCCTAGCAAACGGAGCCGATGGGGCCCTAGAGGGATTCCCTTTCTTAGTTCGGTTCATAGCACAGCGGTTCTGATTCTTTAAAGGTTTGCCCGTAGGCTTCAGAACCGCACCAAACTTCTTTTTGTTGTCGTAAACAACTAAGACTTCTTCTTTCTGATCTTGTTTCCGAGCCTCCTCTTCAATTCGGAGGCGAGTAATCAGACTCTCGATTGAAAATTCTTTTGTTTTGTGACGAATTATATTTTTGAAATCTTTCCAACCAGGGGGCAGCTTGTCAATAATTACATCAATTTGAAATTGTTCATTAAGGGGCATACCTTCTGTAATAATCTCATGAGCAATCTTCTGAATTTCGTGGCTTTGACTTTCCACCGACTTCTCATCCACCATCTTGTAGTTCAAGTAGCGGCTGACAGCAGATTTCTTCGCACCTGCTTCTTCAGTATCATATTTCCTTTTCAGAGCCTCCCATACCTGTTTAGCAGTTCTGTAGCTACTGTAGTAGTCGTACAGATCATCAGCAAGGCTGTTCAGAATGTGATTTTTGCACAGATAATCATTCTCGTGCCATAAGGCGATTTCTTTTCGGAGCTGCAGATCATCTGCTGCAGCCTTAGCTTTTGCAGCATCTGAGTCAGACATTTTGGAAGTCCCGTCTGAATCTGCAAGTGAGTTACCGTTAGGTAGTTCAGATGATGCAGAAGGGACAACCGGGATTTCCTCAGTCAGAACGTGGGCAACCTTTTTCAAAGTTAAGAAAAATTTCATCTTAGCTTGCCAACGTTTGAAATTGGAACCCTCAAACCTGAAAGGTTTGTCAGAGACCAAAGCGGCCGCAGTAGTACCGATAATTTCCTCAGTTGCCATGGCAGTTATGAAACCGTCTTAAAATTGTTGATTTCGGAGTTGAAAAAATAGCGTTAGGCACAAGGAAATTATCGGGACGAGTCGCGTACTAGGTCGCTTTCTTTAAGACGTTTCGCCGTACTGCCAAAATATGCAACGCAGTCGATTTACGACGACGCCTCCAGGATAAAACAGCCCGTTCAAAATTACGATTATCAGTTGCACACTGATAAATCGCTCTAGAAATACACCTTTCTAAATTATCTGGCGAAAATAGCCAGTCCAGTATCTGGTTGTAATAGCCAGTCGAAAAAACCAAGAAAAGAAAATTGTTTAGATGAAGAGAATTAAGGGAGAGAGAGGGAAATCAAAATTCGTGTGAATTTGTGAAATCCGGAGTACACACTTCTGAATTTCTACCCTGTATTTATAGGCAGCAAACTGCACCTGAGTGGGAAGAAATTCGTGGGGAGTGAAGAAAATGGTGGGAGACTGAGAAATTCGTGGGGAGTGGAGAAAATGGCGGGAGACTGAGAAATTCGTGGAGGACTGACTGACCAATTATTTTCTTAATTAATTAATATTTATTATTAATTAATTTTCCACCGAATTATATTAATTAATTAATGATAATTAAATTATATAAATTCAGGTCTAAAAAATAATTCATCTAAACACTACTAATATTTCCATTCCCTTCAATGTGGGACTAAAATGAATCTTTTCAAATTCACTTCTATATTAGTTCTCACTTGTGTTCATTTATTGCTCATTAATTGTCAACAAATGTTTCCAATTCCCACTATAATTAATTAAAGTTCCACCATTAATTAATTAAAGTTCCAACAGGATCCTCTATTAGGATGAATGAATTCTTTAGTGTGTCAAATTTCAAAACTATTAAACAATTATGTGAACCATGGAAATCAATCTCTCACACACACGCGCACACACGCACCCACACACGCACGCACACACGCACACGCAACTTTAAAAAAGAAAATCCTCTCAAAGATGAAATTGTCATCATTATTCGAAAAATTGCAAGAATATAAAATGAAACTACTAGTAGTAGTTAAGAAGTTTGAAAAATTGTTAGAAAAAAAAAACTATGAAAATTTTCAAAAATTAATGTTAACGAAGAATTAACTACAAAACAAAAGTTCACTTTATTTGAACGTGGAAAAAGGTGTATTAATATTGTTTTATCTCCAAAATAAGAATAGATTCAACAGTAGGGGTAGAAATTTAAGAAGAGCATACATCATCTTGAAAGATAATGTATGTGAATACAAATTCTGAAAATGTAGAACAATCACATCTATCTTTTACGGTTCCATGTCAGAACAATTATGAAGATGAGGTTAGTAATTTTAACGAAATGATAAACTTTATTATGATGAAGCATTTAATGATTTGAATAATAAATGTCTAAAACTTTCTCGATTATGTGCTTAAAAAATATAAAAAAATTAATCTCATGGAAATTAAAACTAATACCATCAAGTGGAATTACATACAGTTACATAAATGTAAAACAAGTTCAACATATAATAATTGTCGCTTGAATCAAAGATTGTGAACTTAGTTTAGAAAGTATTCTAAGGTGCAAAATACTCGTTTTCTTGATTCAATGATACGTGCTTCTTTGTAATTCTTGGTGTGAGATAAATTTTGCATTTTACCTTCTTTTCTAATTAAGATTTGATACGGTAATTCCCATCTCATAGTTACACTAGTGACCTTTAATCAAATACAAATTATTTTGAAGAATTTAAATTTAAATTATGACTTTATCAACTCATATTTTACATAGAATGTCTGATCGATGATGTACAGTCTATTCTTGTGTTGTTTTTACGGTATAAATTTTCTAAAACAAAATCTATCTGATTTTTTCTTGCAATTTATCCACTCGTTTAAATAAATAAAAAAACAAAATTTTTATTCATTATTTATTTATTCATAGTAGAAAGGTGGGTCTCAGTAAGACTTACATGACCCTTTATTTATTCTTGGCTCATTATGAGCTAGCTGGATCTTACATCATACATGTTCATTATTTTTCATAGTTGATTACTTAGTAAAATACATCATACATGTTCATTATTTTTCATAGTTGATTACTTAGTAAAAAGTCTCCAGAATTGAAGACAGAGGACTTTTTCTTCTGCTTCCTTCCTCCCTTTGCTCAGGTTCAGCATTTGCAAAGTGAGATTGCTTTTGGTTCTTCAAAAGTCTATTTACCTCTTGAGCAGATCCAGAAAACGTAAGCTCTTTTACTGGATTTTCAATTTGGCTTATCACATTGTCGTCCGAGCCTTCAAAATTTTCAAATTCAAATAATTATCATTCATTCGAAATGTATTAATTAATTATACTCACTAATATTCAGTTAATACCTGAAAGGAAGTTTCTCTGATTGTTCTCAGCATTGATACCAAATCCAAGCAAATTTAGATTCGACGAAGCACGGATGGCAACTGGGTGACCTGCTGGAATGATAACAACGTCACTGGGAGACAATCTAGCTTCATACCTCTGCACTTCCTTGTTTCTTTCCTTCCTCTCTTGTTGCTCATCCTCATTTTGAACACCCAAAAGTTCAAGGTTTCCTTTTCCTTCATTAACCAATAGTACAACTATAGCCCTTGAATTGTAGTGTGGCAACAATAGCGCTCCCTAAAAATTTAGGCAAAAATGCATTATGGTATTTATGTAATATACTAATATCAATAAAATTAAAATTAGTGTTGTGTCCATACCTCGTTGATCTCCACACAACTAATCGATACATCTAAATCCTGAAGTTGAGGGTATTTCTTCTCTGGAGTAATCTCAAAGAACTTGCCAAACTTGTTAGAATATTTTGGACTGTGGCTTCTCAAGTTGACTGGTTCAAGTTCTGAAAGTAAGCTTTTCTTTGAGCTTGACTTTGCAAGCTTTCTTAATTCTTCAATTTGTTCCCTTGACACTTTGACTATAGCATTTGTTTCTTGTCCTTGCTTTTGTTGTTCTTCTAAGAGGACTTTCTCTATGGTCTCGTATTTAGTCTGTATTTGCAAATAAGGATACAAATTACAATGGTTTTTATGTATAACAAATTGATAAATATTTTACTTATTAAGCTTAACATGTGTTGCTTGCATACTTACATTTAAGGAGGCCTCTAGAACACTCTTACTGAATCCTCCTAAGTATTGGTTTAGGTCAAAAGCCTGGATCAAGAACGGTAAATATCAATTTTTCATTCTAGACAAAAGTAAAGTTATATAAAGTTGTGTTTTTGTAAGAAAAAAGCTTGGCAAAAAAAAATTTATTGTATTTTATATATTACCTCAAATTTACCAGGCCTATTCACAGGTATTACAAGATCCACCACTCTAAGATCTTCTTCATCGTCTTCGTTAACTAGATAGGATGTTGTTCCCGCAGGAAGTTTGATGGTATCACCACGCTCAAGATTATAAGAATTTCTATCGTTGGGGCTCAACACTGTCAATATGGCTTTCCCTGTAAAACGTTTTAACCAAACAAAAATTTTATTCGAGTTCAACTTAAATTTAAATTCTTCAAATTAGAATATTGTATAGTAATAATATTATAAAAAAATAAAATTACCATTGAGGATTACAAGGATTAAGTCAGCATCTATATGTTGAGGAAGAAAGATGGTGTGGGGTTTGGCTCTATATTCCACAAGGCGATAGTTTTGGAGATTTTCAAATAGGTCTGAACGTTCGTCGAACCTTTGAAGGCGACGAATGTAACCGTTTTCATTTTCGAAGAGTGTCAGAAACTTGTTAGACTTGAATAAAAAGGGGTTTCTTCGTCCTTGCGACTCTGATGATGTTTCTTCAGTGTCTTCTTCTACATACTTCTTTGTTCTCTCCTTTCTATACCTTAGCCTTGCCCTTTCTTCGGGATCTTCATGACGCTGACTTCCTCTCCATTGATCTTCTTCTTTTTCTTCGTCTTCCTTTCTTTCCCATCTTTCACGTCCAGGTTCAACTTCCTTTTGTTCCTTCTTTTCACGTTCATATTGATATTTCTGCTTCTCTTCTTCATCATATTCCTTTTCATATGAAGGTCTCCATTCTCCATGGCGTTTTTCCTCTTTCTCACCCTCTTGACGACCTCTTTCTCTTCGTCCCGGTACCCTAGGTTCTGAACCTTCATCATATTCCTTTTCGGATGAAGGTCTCCATTCTCCATGGCGTTTTTCTTCTTTCTCACCTTCTTGGCGACCTCTTTCTCTTTGTGCCGGTACTCTAGGTTCAGAACCTTCATCATAATTGGCATAAGTGACACAAACGGAGGCCAGGAATATAATTCCCAGCAACAACAAAAGTGGAAATCGTGATTTGATTATGGTAGCCATGATTTGTATTTCACTAGTTCACACTTTAGATGATGAAATAAAAGGGTAAGATGAAGGATATTTATAGTGATAGAACATAAAGCTAGATGAATAACGTGGGTGGTCATTTGGCTACATTGTGTCATCTAGCTTGACGAGTGTTGAAATGAACAAAATTGAGGTGGCAACTGAGTTGTAACTCTTAGAAAGGTGTGAATGGACTCGTGGGTTGAGGTGATGAATATTTGGAGCTGCATGTGTGACACATTGGGGTTGTACGTGTTTTTATGCATGGAGTTTGGGGTCCAGTGGTTTAGATTTACATGGATGCGGCGATCATGATCATTATTCATGTTATGTTTTTTGTTTTCATTTGATGAATGAATGATCCTCGAAATTCTTTACACAAATTGTTTGTCACTATCACTCACCCTTCGTTAGCTTTTATGCATAAATTAATACATGTGAATGAAGCCACTAGATATTGCTAATTATGATAATGATACAATTCATGAGCATCAAAGAATAAAAAAATTACCTCGAAGCAAACAACCCATTCCATTTCCTTCTTTATGTGAACCTTGAATAGTAATTATTATTTGTAAGATCCTAATGAGTATTGATTCCTTGAATTGTATTTAGTACTTTCTCCTTATTATTAAAAAGTTTGTACCAAATTATTGAGTTTGAGGTAAAGAGAAAAAAAATTTAGGTTTGAATAGTCTTTTGTCTATGTAAATTGGTATGCTTTTTATATTTTAGTTTCTGTATTTTTTTCTTATCTTTTAATTTAGGTCCTTATACGTTGAATTTCTTTTAATTTTAGTATCTCACGTCAATATTTCATTACAAAAATGCTGGATTGGCTAACGACGTGGCAAGCAGGGACGGATTCAGAAATCTTGATCAGTGGGGGCAAAATGTATATACTACTATAGTCCTCCTATTTTGTATTTTTTTGGGTTTGATCCCTCTATTTTAAAAACCACCATTTTGGTTCCTTTTTAAAGTTTTGAGGTTGATTTTAATCCCCACTCCAATTTGAGACATTTTTTTAATGATGTGGCACCATCCAAGATGACGTAGCAATGTCAAGTCATTTTAAAATTAATTTGAGACTTTAATTATTGATTAGGATAATTAATTTATTAATATTATATTCATTAATAAATAAATAAATTATTAATTTTTTATTATTAATTTTTATATTTAATTAATTAAAATTTTATATGAAACACTTTGCGCCTAACCTTTTAATTCCATGTTTTTGGTCCATTTTTTAACACACAATTGATTTGTAGTGTTTGTGTAAAATATATAAACACTAACAACATTTGTAATGAAAGCAATGTGAGACTTTAATGGGTTGGTGACTTTGTAACCTAAATAATGGAAACTATCACTTCCTACTTCTTTTTTTCTCCAATAATATTGTACAAAATACATCTTCTCTATAATAGTTTTCAGCTAGAGTTCATTTATCATATTGGAGAATTGTATTGTTTCTTTATATTTTACTATAGAAAATGATGTCTTTCTCCATTTATGCCTCCAACTATTCTTGTTACATTAGGCAACCCTCTGAGAATGGACTTCCTCTACAAAATACAGCTAGAGAGCTAATAGAGGGTTTTACTACTCTTGCACCATCTCTTCCTGTAAGGTTCAATTATTGTTTTTCAAAAATAAAAAGTTTCAATTGGAAAAGTAGTGTGTGACTTTATTTTTGTGAAGCCTGTTGTGTGAGTAATAGTGAGTTTGTGACATTGGCAATGCTTAAAGCATATTTTAGAAAGAAATCTTAATTGAAAATTGGCTAGCTTACTTTGTTTCCTTTATTTTAACTAAAACTTTGTAAAAGTGGAACATGCTAGACTTTTGAAGAGCATGATTGGACATGACTTTATTTTCTTTGCTTTTACTAATATGTGCTCATTTAAGCTTTCACTTCATTTACTTTTAATATTGAAAATATGTTGATTGAATTTACAGGTTCTTACTGACATATTACTAAAAGAAACACTTCTGTGAAAACTAAAGATGTTTAAATCAGCTTCGGATTATGCCATTTCACGGCTTTATGCTATCAAAGCTCAGACTTTGATACTTTGTAGGTTCATTCTCGTTAGCATTGTACGTCTTACATTAGTCATACTCAGCATTGTACATATTACATTAGTCATACTCTTTAACATTGTACTTCTTACATTAATTATAATATGGAATCCTATGGCTTTTCTTAACTTTTTGATGCTGTCACTTAGCCGACATGCTATTAGAAAATAAATGGAAAGAAAGATTACTAAGTGCTAACAAACAATTTCTTTAAACTTCATTACTTCTAAACAATGGTCTGTATGATGGAACCGTTGAAGGGTATAGAAACAAAAACCATATGAGATTTATGTCAATTACAGATATCATCTCAGAATGTAAATTAGTGCATCCTATAAATAATATATCCAAGAGGTTGCTACATATAATTGGAGGATAAAAGATGTATTCCGTACAATATTATTGGAGGAAAAAAAGAAGCAGGAAGTGATAGTTTCCATTATTTAGCTTACAAAGTCACCAACCCACTAAAGTCCCACATTGTTTTCATTACAAATGTTTGTGTTTATATATCTTACACAAACACAACAAATCAATTGTGTGTTAAAAAAATGGACCAAAGACATGAAACTAAAAGGTTAGTCCCAAATTGTTTCATATAAAATTTTGATTAATTAATTAAATATAAAAATTAATAATAAAAAATTAATAATTTATTTATTTATTAATGAAAATAATATTAATAAATTAATTATCCTAATCAATAATTAAAGTCTCAAATTAATTTTAAAATGACTTGGCATTGCCACGTCATCTTGGATGGCGCCACATCATTAAAAAAATGTCTCAAATTGGAGAGGAGACTAAAATCAAACTCAAAATTTAAAAAAAGGGACCAAAATGGTGGTTTTTAAAATGGAGGGATCAAAACCCAAAAAAATACAAAATAGGAGGACCATAGTTGCAATTAAGCCTATTCTATATTTAAAAAAATCAAAGATACTTGAACATATAATTTTTTATTATAAATAATTCTATTTTAAAATTATTGAATAATTTTTCTTTTATTTTTATTTTTAATATCTAACAAAACAACCGTTTAATTATTTAAGAATATTTAATTCTTAAAATACACAAATACTAATTTTTTTAGTGGGGGCATTACTTTGTTTCATCATGTGAAAAATAAATATTTTAAATTAATCTATAATAACATAAATAATTTAGTGGGGGCAGTTGCTCCCAATACTATGTACGTAGATCCGTACCTGCACATGAGGCGCGTGTCAAAGGAAAAATTGGCTTAACAAAAATCTGATACGGTAAGATATCTACCACTAACTGTTAGTTGAATAATGTATGTCTTATTTTTCCAATTCTTTTTTTTGTGACAAAAATCATGTAGTTGTTAACATAAAACCGTTATTTAAATGATGGTGGCCACACCATATATTACTGGTAAACTCTAAAACCATCTCATTTGAAGTTACATGCAGAAAGAAAATGCAATAAGTATTGCACTAATATAGGTTAGAGTTAGACATTCATCTTTCATGGTGAGGTCCAGACGAATGCAGAAATCTTGATCAGTTGGGACAAAATATATATACTATTATAAATATTTATATAAAAAATGTATCAATGTGAAATCATATATCATTGTGTAAAAAAGTTAAAACTATCAAAACTTTATTATTCTATATTAAAAAAAAAAATCAAAGATACTTAAACATATAATTTTTTATTATAAATAATTCTATTTTAAAATTATTGAATAATTTTTTTTTTGTTTTTATTTTTAATATCTAACAAAACAACCGTTTAATTATCTAAGAATATTTAATTCTTAAAATATACAAATATTGATTTTTTTAGTCAGGCATTACTTATGTTTCATCATGTAAAAAATAAATATTTTAAATTAATTTGTAATAGTATAAATAATTTAGTAGGGGCAGTTGCCCTCAATACCATGGACGTAGATGTGTCTGGTGGCAAGTGCAAAATTTTAAAAATTGTGACAATTAGATATAAACCACTAAACCAACCAACTCATTTATATATTATATAAATAAAATAATTATTATTTAATTCATTTGTTTAATAAACTACTAAAATATATTACTTATTGAAATATATTACTTAAATATATTATTAGAATATATTATTTAATATAGATTTGTTTTAATATTTTAAGTATTTAATAGTTTATTACTGGAAAATAATATTTAATATGAATTACTAAATAGTATTAAATACTTTATAATTGGAATATTTTATATGATATAAATTAATAATTATTTAATATTTTAAGTATTAATTACTAATTAAATAATTCAACTATTTAATATTTCAAATATTAATTAATGATTAAATAGTAGTTAATAATTAGTAAATAATTATTTGACATGATTTTGTATTATTAATAAATAGTAATTAATAAATACTAAATGATTATTTCATATTATTCTATATTATTAATCAGCTTATTAAATATTAAATAATTATTTAATAATTATTTCATAATATTTCTCAATATTATTTCAGGTTATTTCAACTATTCCAGAATATTGATAAATAGTATTTCTCACAATTTTACGAAATAAATATTGAAATATGGTTGAAAAATTAAAATGTTAAAATATTTAATAAATTAATTATTTAATAAAATAATTAAATATTAATAGTTAAAATATTAATTAAGCTATTTAATGATATGAAATAATTAAACTATTTAATAGTTAAAATATTTATTAAACTAGTTAATAGTTAAAATATTAAATAGTTGAAATATTAATAGTTAAAATATTAAATACGTAAAATATTAAATAATTGAAATATTTTTTAAACTGACTAATAAATAAAGTTAATAACTTAAATATTAATAATTAAAATATTAAATAGCTGAAATATTTAATAAACTAATTATTTAATAAAATAAATAATTGAAATATTAGGTAGCTGAA